ACAATTGATAATTCTGTCAAGAATGAAATCTGTAAATCCTGCAGAGTAAGCTCTGCACAAGATCAATATCCTAGCAGAGTAAATAGCATTACTGCAATACAAGCAATAGGAGTAGACAGTGGCTTTCAATGGGCTAGTTAGCTCACAAGGCACTATTTAGACCACTGTCTCAGGACAGTTGTGCTCTCTTATAAAGAAAAGCAACGACTGCACATTTTGAACCTGATACCTTTTGAACTTGACTAATCTACCACCACCCAGACCAAAATTCCTCTCTCAACTATTTAAGAAAGCTCTTCATCACTGAAATAGCTCAACCAGTCTGTCTGCAGTCACTAGAAGCTAGAGATACGACATCCATCTCCTATTATACTGGTGTGCAAGTAATTTAAGTCTCGTGATTCTTAAATTTCCTTGAATCAGCTGTCTTCAACATTTGCTACTGATAAATGTGCACCCAGATTTCACATTCAGTTATGAAGACAATGGAGGCAATGCAGTGTTTATACAGGCTCGGTGGCTGCAACCTGACTGACCAGTTTGGAAATCATTTTCCTTTTCACTTCACCATGCACTCTCAAATAATGAAAATCCTTGAACTGAGGTTTCTTAAGGGAAACATCTAGTTATTAGCATGAGAGAATCCTTAGTACAAAGAACAGAACGTATTCCCCATCTGTTTATCACTTCTTGCTGTCATCTCCACATCCATCCACAATTAATCTCCAAAGCTGCCAGAGCCTCAACGTTGTGTTTTTACTTAAAGCCAAGGAATTTAGCATTAGAACTTTACAACACCATGCATGTGAAGTCTATCCCATTAACAAAGCTCATTTAAGAACTTGAACAAAGACCAGTCTTATCCTAAAGAAATCACTGCCTGCGTTCCTTTCCAAAACCATCCTATTTGTGATAATATTGAAGTGTATCTTATACTACCTTACAACCTATACAACCTTACCACCACGTTGACTAGTTTCCTGGCCTCGCACACAACGTACTTTATGGACTTTTTCCAGATGTGCCAATTCTCTGCTCATTAGTACCTCCAGGTAGGAAAAAACATCAACTTATTTCAAAAGTCAGAAGAATCTGGAGCTGAACATGTTTTTAGTTTAAAAGTAGATGAAGTAATCAAACCTCCTGTAACTGCAGCATTCCTCTATAAGGAACAGTAGAAATTACACAGTCCCTAAAAGAGGTGACTTAGTAATCAAAAGGCAGAATGCAATTCCTTAGTGCATCGCTGTCAAATGATATAGCTACATGGTAAAACAGGTCTTATTAAAAAATACACAGGATGATGATACAAGTGAAACAACAGTAAAGTCTGAGTAGACAAGAAAGCTAGGCACAGTTAGAATCATAGAATCATTAAGGTTGGAAAAGACCACTAAGATCATCTAGTCCAGCTGTCAACCCATCATTACCAGCCCACTAACCATGTCTTTCAGTGCCACATCTACCCTCTTATTGAAAACCTTCAGAACAGTGACTCCATCACTTCCCTAACACTCTGAAGCAGGAGTGCTGCCTTTGTCAACTGAACAAGAACATGCAATGGTGAGCATTTCAAGCTAGCTGAATGGCCCGTCGTTTTGTTGGGATTTCAGCTCAGAAATGGCTTTCAAGAGAATGGCAACATGCCTAGACACACATCTCAGTGCTATAAATATAGAAATGCCACAGCGACGCAATATTAAAAACAAAAACGTCTCTTCTATTTTCAGTATGGAAAATGTATTTTTGAAAAAAAATCATGTCGTATTAGTCGCATTCTCTGCTTTAATTAGCTACCAATCTGACAGATAAACATCGTCTAACATTCATTCTAAAATCTGAGTACAGCAATAGTAATTCTCAATCCACAGATTAGGTCTAGTGAACTTAAAACTGAATTAAAAAGAACAATTCAACATAACACCTTTTTCATGGGTCATAAAACCACATTTGCTACCAATATGAACACTCAGAAAATACCTGTTAAACAAACATAAACCTGAGTTTCTGGCCAAGGACAGTGTTGCAAAAACTGCAAAAATAGTGCACAATGCAACAAAAGCCACCATCTCTTTTATTTTCTGACTTACCAGAATTGAAGTTAAAGACTTCTATTTGTGTACCAAAAGATTCATTTTCAGATGAGGGTCCTAAAAATATTCCTGCTATGCACAGAAATCTGATAGTAGAAATAGGTGGTATAGTAGAAACATCTCTGAAAGATATTTACCTTAATAAGTCAAAACCTCAGTACTAGAAAGCTCAAAATACCTTCACCAGACAAAGAAACAACCGTCTTTTTATCCTTTGGAATAAAAACATAATGCACAATAAACAACAGAGCTTCTCACACAAACTTTTAAGCTTGGAGTTTCTCTCATCAGAAACAAAGCATCCTGGAGGACTAAAGAAGTGACTGTCCCATGTACACAGCACAGAGGTGAGTCTGCACCTTCAATAGTGTGTTCAGTTTTGGGCCTGTCGCTACAAGCATATGGAGTGGCTTGAGTGTGTGCAGAGAACAACGAAGCTGGTGAAGGAGTTACAAGGAGTGACTGAGGGAATTGGGGTTGCTCAGTCTTGAGGTGGCTGAGGGGAGAACTCATTGCTCTCTACAATTTTCTGAAAGGAGGCTGTAAGCTAGGAGAGCACTGACTTATTTACCTCAAGTGATAAGTGGATAAGACGCATGGAAATGGTCTCTAGTTGCACCAGAAAAGATTTAGGCTGGACATTAAGTACAATTTCTGCACAGAAACTGTGGTCAGGCACTGGAACAGGCTGTCCAGGAAATAGTGGAATCCCCATCCCTGGAAGCATTTAAGAATCACATGGACATATTAAGGGACATGGTTTTGTGATGGGATGGTAGATGAGGCTGATGATAGGACTAAATAATCTTGAAGATCTTTTCCAACCTAGATGACTCAATGATTCTCTACTTCTGGGAATTAACTACTGTAAAATTTCATTCAGTTTCAGTAACTCTCATATGGGAACAAACAAAAGCATTCAAGTAGACATACAAGCTTGCATGTCATAGCCAGTTCTGGAAACAGCTTTCAGAAACTTGGAGATAACTATATAAGGTTTCTGTAAAAATTTGGTGGAGTTCTAGCTTATGAATCACATAACATCTTTAAATAACTTCTTTTTTCTTTTTTTTCTATTTGTTTTTGAACTCACTCCCCTTCCAAACGATGAACTTTCCTGAAGTCATCTTGTTTCCATGTCAGCGCAACCATAGGAATACAGTTGTTAGGACAAGAAATAGCAGCACGCCCATTCTTAACATCAGTGCTTTTGACAAGTGGCACAGTGGTGATGAATAACATCAAGGTATCAGACTCTCCCTCTCTGTTCGTTAACAGAAGAGTCACCTTTCCACTGTTTGCTATGTTAAATTTCTCTCAGTTAATGTCAGAGCTACATAGATGTCCACACAGGACAATGTTACATATTAGCAACACAATTTTACAAGAATTGATCATTTTGAGTTATTGAACTTTTTTTTTTTTTTTTAATATACGTTGTTTACTCAGCATATTGACATTTTTAGAAAGCTGAATAAGCCTACATTTCCAAAGCCTGTAATACAACCAAATCTTAGATTTCCACATTGAAAAAATACATTTGATCTTCATTTTCTGCAGCTCAGCTCAGTTTCTCCCCCATTTTAATTTCTGACTGTTTTAAAATATCTAATTCAAAATTGAGAAACATTCCAAGCTCAGTAGTGAACAATACAGGAGAAACTTTTCACTTCAAACCACATTTTACAATACCAACACTGACATAGTCTGTTGCTTTAGCTGTGATCTAGAAAGTTTTGTTGCTGAATAGTACAAATGCCTCTTAAGACCAACTTGTAAAAGCGATCTCCTTTTAGAAAGCAATTCAGTTGAATGAGCTTTTTTTCTCCCAACTTAAGATCTTCCCTAGCTTTATGTACTGCATAGCATGTTACAGCTCAGTATTTTAGTTTATCCCTACTGTTTCTCACTTAGATCACTACTTCTTTAAAAAGATGACTATGAACTAACAGCTTCTTAAGATATTAATGTTTTGAGACCTCGTATTCTTGTTTCATCCCTCATCCATTTTTAAGCCAATGTATTTCTGAACTGATGAGTCAGTGACTGTACTGCTACCCAGAAAGATTCCTCGCTCTTAAAGAGTGCTGTTCAGAATGCTTGCAACTGAGATGAACAGCTATGGAAAACAAGTGGTAGAAGCTTACATGTTGCTTAATCCGTTTAGTGTGATACTGAGGAATAACATCTGTTAGAAAAATCATAGATTTTCCTGCTACTATTTTCCCCACTCAATACTTGGGTGCCTGAGTTTTCTTCTTTCAGTTAACACAGTTGCAAGAATTTTCCCCTTCTTACTCTGTTTTAGTGTGCTTGATGGAAGGTTCATGGATTTTCAGTATAAGCCTTAACAAAAGGCTGCTTGCTTTATTTGTGGGCTCCTGCTCCCTACTTCCCCATCACCTTTCCCATTCAAAAACTTGGTAGAAAAGGTATCTATCTGTATGAATGAAGCCAAGAAACCAAGTTATTTAAGACAAAGGAACAGAGCTTTATGTACATTAAACAATTTGCATATTGCTTCTAGAAAGTAAAATAGGATATTCATAAATATTCACTAGACAAGTAAAATTAATCACAAGACTAAAGGCTAAGCATTTATATTTGCTATCCCCTTTAGGGAAACAAAAGAGAAGACAGATGGGATGACTCGCCCATTTCATCTCCAGTGAAAATACAGAAAATTCAGTTGATTGAGTTTGGCAATTATGGTGCCTAATTTTTAAGTCACTAAAGCCACTGATTTAACCTCAAGTGACCAAACTGCAGCACTTAGTGAGCGACTGGTTCCCAGCCAAGGGAATGACCTTCACTCTAACCAGTAAGCTTTAGTTCCCACAAGTTAGGGAAATTACAGATTTTTAAAGTGGTTAGACACTGCCTGGTCTGGTTACTCATTATGTGCCTTGTTCCCTCAGGTGCTTTTTTAAGCTCTGTACAAACCGAGATGAGAAAAGTTGTGCACATTCTGTGGAACATTTCAGTACAGAACATTGTGTTTCATTTTTCAAGTCAAAATGCAAAATGCTGTTGTTTGTTTGTTTGTTTTTCTTCTCACGCTAAGGCTCGGATAGCAGACATTTGTTTAGAGAAGAGACTGGACTTCTGGTGAAGGAAAAGGTAAGTCCACAACTTAACTTTGTCCAAGTAAATGTGGAGAAAATTAATTATAGAGAACAAGACTCCATCAGGAAAACTTAATGTCAAAAAGACTTGTCTGTTCTTAATCTGGCATACACATGCCAGATTTTCAGTACATTTAAAACTGGGGATGGTCTTTATTTGTTTGGAATGAGAACATTGGTTGGTTTGTTCATTTTTTTTTTTTAATAGAGGTGTATGTGTGTGATTGAGATAAAGCTGCATAATAAAAATCATTAATTGTTATTCTACCTGTCAAGACTACTCAGTCACTTAGAAAATGTGTCTGAGACATCTAAGTATTAAAGATTGAGCAAATATGCATTTATGAAAATAATTCCTGTGTTGCAAAAAGCAAGCCTGAAGGAAATTCAGCATTGAAGTACTCAACATCTATCTGTGAGCTGAGAGCAAATGTAGCAAAAAAAAAAAAAAAAAAAAAAAAAAAAAAAAAAAAGCCAAGAAAGACCAGCCAGCTTTTGAAGCAATCACATGGATTCCATCAGTTGCACCAGAGGCTGAGACAAAGCAGCTGAAGCTAGTGCAGTCATGTCTTCATTGCACTGCTTTCCCAAACAGTCTAAATTAAGAAATCATACTTAAAATGTTTATTCTACAAATACCTGTATTCATTTAAATACACAGATAGCTCATTTCAAATGTTTCTTGGTTGATGCATATTTCAATAACTTATCAGAAGTCAAGGAAAGAATACCAGTTGACAGGCAGGAAAAGTGTCAGACAGGAAAGTCTGAATTTTACTAAAATTCTATGCCACTTGTGCAAACAAGTAACAGAATTGAGTATCCTGATCACATTTTGTACTAACTACCCATACTGCTTTGTAGGGTTTGCACACTGAAATAATTAATAATAATAATAATTATCACCTTCACCGGAGTAGGCAACATGACCTTAACAGTTCCATTTATCTTCAGTTAAAGGCTTAGGTGCTTTTTTCTTAGGCCAAGTAAGTAGCAATGCATGCCCAGCTGAATCTCTTCAGCCTAAATCACAGGGGAGTTCTTGTTTGTTTTTCTTTTTAAGTAAGAAAAAGACATTGTAATTCCTGTGATTTTTAAATACTGGCTAGTCATTTATTTAGAGCCATTTCCAAAGAACGCTACAGAGCTTCAAAGAAGAAAACACGCTCTTTGTGGAGACCAAGTTGCCACATTATGTTTTGATAAGGAGGGCAGCTGGACTCCCTACACATAAGAGACACAACAGGCAGGTATTTTCTAAAGAAACTGCTAGTAAAAAGGTCTGGATGGAGTTTGCTGGAAAGTGTAAATATGAAAAAGTAAATATGTTGTGTCAAACTTCTCCCAACTTCTTCCCCAGAATGGTAAAGCAAAGTTAAGGCCTAAAAACTGTAGAGTTTTTAAACTGAGCTTTTACTCAGTTCTTTTACTGAAAGAATTCTTCTAATCAAAATGAGACAGAAAACCAGTTTAAAACCTTGCACTTATTTCTTGTGCCAGGGAAAACTTGGGCACTTTATTTTTGTTCCTAATAAAAGAGCATTGGGATAGAAATTTCTCCGTGAGAATACAGACAGGATAGACAAACATCCTGGAAACACCAGACTCATCCAGCAGCACTGCTGTTCAAGATGTGAAACAATAACAAATAGCTGGTCAAATAACTTCTCATTGCAAGGGCAAATTTCAGATAGTCTTGCTATCTACATCTTTGCTTACCTAACTACATTATTTCATCAGAAAACTGCTTCCAGAAAAAAAACACTTAGGGAGGGAGAACACAAGCGAGTATTCTGAGCAATCCTGGCAAAGACTTCAAGCCAATGCTGCAGTGTCTGGGCATCAGGTAAAGCAATCCTAATCACAAAAGAGTAAGATCAGAAAGCAAGGTAGAGTCAAGGCCATGCTAGAAGCAAAAACAACATATAGACAAGACAGGAGAGAAAAATGCAAGCCAGTCCTGACAGGACACGGCACCTTGGACATTAAGACATCTTCAGGTTTCTGTCCTACGCCATAGCTAGGGTCTAAGCTAACAGACCAGCTGTGCTTTTTACTAAGCACACCAGTAGCTAGGAAAGGGGTTGAGGGAAATCGATTCATTTAAATACATTTCTCTTGCGCTGAGTGATTGCATGCTTTTATCTTGTTGCCTTTAGAAGTTTCAGTGATTTTATGCTTTCACATCCATGATCTTTCAATAGCAGACTGCCACTACTGTCTTTACTTCTGGTCTTTGTGCATGCAGCTAGATAAAATCATCCTGTCGTTTAAGGCACAGCAAGACCACAGCTCCTACCTCAGAATGTTCCTAAATATTCCTAGGAAAGTAGCAAACTGGAGAGTTGAATTGGAAACATTAAACATCTACCACAGACCACAATCACCTTCTAATCCAAGTTAAAAGGAAATGTGTTGGTAAGTACTGCTGGATTCACTCATACACAAAGTCTTCCAATTCCATTCTATAGTTGACAGTTCACATGTTGACCTTCTAAGTACCAAATTTCTTAACAGTCCAACCCCTTGTCCACAAATGTAGATACTGAAAAAATTCCTAAAATATCTTTCAAAATGAAAGTAAAAATCTTAAGAGGACAAGAGCAGAAAACTGTAGGGCTCTTTCCATGTTGGTAAAAAGAATATAAAGTGCATTTTATTTCATAACATCATTGTGCTGCTCACATTACAGAAAAGAACAGTGAATTCTCCATTATCACTTAAAAAAGATTTATGCTTTATTTCTAGATAATGTTGTATTTTCACTGAAAGTCTTCTTTGAAAACTATTCAACTGTCTGTTTTCAGTTTTGTGGGTTTGTTTTTAAGCACACACTGCTTTGTGGCTATCATACAATAAAAAAAACCCCAGATTTATCAAGATAGCCTTTCATTCTCTGCCTAGAAGCAGAGACACGTACATTCCATTTTGTTTACTTTTCTGCTCTTTGCTCCTTCTGCAATCAAGGAAATCTTTTATTTTCATGTCAAAATGCATTTTAGAGATGTCAAACTGTAGATGAAACAGCAGGAAAAAGTCAACAATTCAATTTGTGAAACATCAGCAGCAAAGCGCAGTAAAAGATGTGTTGGACTGAGCAAACCGTTACCATTCCCTGCTCCTCATCCACTTAGAAGTTCAACGGTCAACCAAAAACAGTGGGGAGAAAGAAGTATTCAGGTTTGTCAAAGGTACAACACACGTGGTAAGTAGAACCTCAGTAAGTCTATAATTAAGTTTCAATTTGCTAAGTATTTTGCAGACCAGGAAAAGGATGCTCCTGGGAGCATGAGACCATCTATTTCAAAAGATGACTTTCATCACCACAGCCCAGTTCCTAGCACGTTTTAAGCGATAGGGCAGGGTAGTTGCATCAGGTGTCTGTTCTGGCATAAAATACCCATCCATACTGAAATTATGTTTCTTTGGCTCTAGGCAACATACATACACAAGCATTGCAAAGGATACCACTAAAAATTGTTTTCATAAGCTATTTTGTTTTCTTTCTCTGATCCAGATAGCCAGCAGATCAGAATGTGCAGTTAATCAACTAGATTTTACTCTTGTTCCTTTTGACTTAGAGGATTACAGTTAGGTTAACCGACATGTCAAAAAGAAAAAAAAAAAATATGTTAAAAACTTACTCTAGTTGTTGATAAAAAAAAAACAGCTATTTTTCCTCTTCTTCCTCCTCCTCCTGTGCCTCGCTCACATTCTCCTTCAAAAAAGCTATCATCTTCTATTTCACCAAGCCTTCCTTAGCAACTCATCCCTTCTAACATAAAGACTCTCTCTTCTCTGTTTGCAGTTGGCAATTATATCTCTCTTACAGCATGAGGCACCAGGAATAAGCACTTATTTTTCCAGACCTAAGCAAATCACTTGTTATTAAATCCTCAAAGCCTCAAAAATAATACACACCAAAAGATTAACTGGAATAATACTTCCTCCAATCTGTAGACAGCTGAAAGTCTTTTTCTCCCTTTGCACATGTGAACAGATGCACTGATTTTCTCAGAGTAAGTTTTCACTCTCCCAAATAGCCAACCTCACTATTCTTTCTATTCCTTCTCATCAAGTTTCTCTGTTTTAAATCTTATCCAATATCTTCTTGTATACCAAACAGGCATCAGCACATGCAACATTTTATTTCCACTCACATATTTTACAAGTTTCTAATGAACCATTTGAGGTAAGTTGAATTGTTTTATTCAGTTCCATCCATACTCCTAAACACTCTAATTATTCTCTCCCCCCGCAAACACTTGTACAATGCCATGCCGTCCAGCTTTACTCTTTTGCTAGGCTGACAGCCTTAGAGCCAGTAGTGGGGAGGAACTTACACTGGTCACTCGACGGTAGATCTGCGCGGCATTTTGGCACTCAGAATAAGGATACTCAGACGTTGCCATCTCTAGCATACACATCCCAAAAGCATATACATCAACGGATTCATCATATTTCTCCTCATACATCTCGGGGGCCATGAACTCTGGGGTACCTTAAATTAAAAGAACGATTCAGACTCTAAATGTCTCAAAGCGAGCAGAGGCTGCTGGCGTTACTCACCGCAGGAGGAAGTGGATGGGCAGACCTGTGAGACAAAAGAAAGTGGAGGCAAAAAGAAGAGGGAGGAAACCCTTAGTCACTCTGTTTTATCAAACCACTTTGCGAGTCTTCCATTGCAAGGTCTTTATGGAATCAGAATGGCATGAACAGACTGATGTAGTTTTCATTTTACGCATGTTAGTGCAAGTACCAAAACAGACTGAATCAGGCATCAAATGGAGGAAAGGGGATAAGAAGAAGGGAAAAACAGACTAGCCATAGGCTGCAAACCAAATACTAAGGAGAGTTAAGACACTTACCTTTTCTCCCTGTAAGAAAGGAGGCACATTAAACCTGGTTTCAAGAATTACCTGACCGCCCTCTGCTGCAAAAGAAGTAGTATTGGTAAGAGCCCACAGCTAGTCTCTGTCCTAGTGCTCTCCACCTACTTTTTGAAGTAGAATGGTTCAGGAAAGGCCTTGCAATGAAAAACTCTTTTTGTTAAAAAATATAAATCTTCATGATAGAAAGTGAAAAGTAATTTTCTGCAAAGGCCACTCACCGGAGCCCTCTTCTTCATATACTTACCTTCTCACCTGCAGTATATTTATAGGCCTACTGCAGATACAGGCATTAGTGAGGAACATCCTACAGTCAAAAAATACTTAGAAATACAGAGAGATTGAGTTACAAGCATAGAGCGTGAGATTCAACAAGTCCCATTTAAATAGTTTGCAGAGAATTTTTGCTCAGAAGCATCACAGCATCCCCTCTGTAATCAAAGGGACTGCACTGTATGATTAAAGACGTAAGTTTGATTCTGTAAATTTAAGCACAGAATTACTTCCTGCAAATACCAGAATCAAGATAGTTCTATAAATCAATGAACAGTCACTTTTGTTTTCACAACACAAAATGAAGAGAGAATGTCATTGTAGCCATTTATCCAAAGGCAAACTATGAACATACAAAGGGATAATTTTGTAATGATGTATTTGAAGAAGAAGGGAGCACATTTAAGAAAAAAACTTTTTTTCTTGGACAATGTGTACTTTTCATTCATACTATTATTTTGACCTGGTTAAGAAGCAGGAAATATTTCAGCAATCACTTTCAAGACAGTTTATGGATATACATCTTTTATCCCATTTGGGTATCTAATATAGGACTGTTGAGCAATATTACATTTTAGCAAGCTTAGACACTGGAAATAAAAGCAATTTCATTCCTCAAAGCCTATTTGCCCAACTATAAGAACAAAGCTGATAAAACCATTTCTTTAAAGAATTTACAAGAAAACCTGTACTAGATCTATCAATCCAATAGCTTATTTCCTGAAAACGCTCATTAGCGGATACACAAGAACAGAGCAAGTACAAGACAATACTTCCCCAATGCATCCTCCTGACTTAATGGAAAACTGCAGTCCAGAGACTTTCTGGTTAAAACATTATACCCCAGTCCAACTGCAATATATTTTGACTTTCTTTGATAAATCTTAGTTTTTGTTGGCCAATTGTAAGAGATTTAATATTAACATCTGGTGACAATTGAAAAAATTGGCTGTATAAATTAATGCTTAGCTAAACATCAAGATATTTGTTAGTCACCAAAACCTATTTGCATGTTTCTTGAACAGATATATAATTCTCACCTTTCATATGCAGTTAAGAATGGTTTTATCAACAGTGTTGCAGAAAACTGTTGGGCAAGGCAATAAATCTATATTCTGAAATACTTTAAGTTACTATACAAATACAAAACGCATCATGTCATCTCATCAGGAACTCCACCTGACCTCAAAAGCCAAGAAATCAAGCCTACACATCTTCAAGCTTAGATTGTGTATCTTTGAAACCATATTTTAAAAGGAAAGCTCTTAAGGCTCGAATTCCCAAGTACATAGACCGGCTCATCAGCCTTCTAAACAGTAGAGACTTACCTATCACACTTTTGGCAAAAGAAGCTCGCTTCAGGGTTGCCAGTCCAAGGTCTCCAATCTTGACTGAACCAGTGGGGCCAGTAATGAAGATGTTGTCACATTTTAAGTCTCTATGAATAATGGGAGGAGTGCGTGTGTGTAGAAATTGTAAGCCTTTCAGTATCTGACGACACCAGCTTCGTAGTACTTTGATTTTCATCACTTTAAATCTTTTCAGGTACCTACAGAAAAATAACAGTACATGAAACAGGCTCCAGTGTCAGCCACTTGTACTACAAAATTAAGTTCTGCTACCAAATAGCAGATTATGCTGTATATTTGCTGTTTTAAAGCGAGAAAGCAGTAGCTAAAGAGACTGAGAAATTTTAACTTCATCTATTTTAAAAAATACCTCTCCAGTTCAAAAATCAAAGAGCTGAAGATGGATCCCCCTCCAAGAAAGAAAAACTGCCCTATGAAAAATTTCTGCCTACTTCCTTCTAACCACAAGACTATAGTGCTGAAGGTTAAAAAGTAAATTATTAAAATCATTAAATTATTGTATTATCAAAATATTTTAAAAATAAATAATTTGCATACCAAGTCAACCTAAAGATAATTAAGCACTCAGCTTGCTAAATTTCAATGCACTGCTTCCCCAACACACAGTTAAAAACTTATGCATTACATTATCTACTTATTTAAGAGGATTACCTACCCTTCAGTTTATCCCATCCTTGCTTAAATAGTTAAAATCTTTTCCTTGGTGAACTATTGGGAAGAGGGCAGTAAAGCCAAAGATGCTAATAAAGAACAGCCGAGTACAGAGCTGCTGCAGACCACGCAAGAGTTACAAAGTCACCCTAGTTATCAATGTTAGTCCAACCACTTTGATCAAGGATTCCAGATTACGCTTTGAACCTACATCAAATTTACTTGCTGTCAAGCAAATAAAAAACTCTCAGAGATCACTTCCCTGGTACTGTCCCATACGGGATGTGACTGTCTGAATCTGATCAGATAATACTCACCACTTCAAAACTACGGAGAGGAAAAGAAGATCTTTAAAATGATTATGCTAACAGATTGATGTGGAAATTACATGCACAGCATCAGCATCCCTTTGCAGGCAAAACATGACCCAGTCTTAACTGTTCTAATATTGCTGCTTTCTAAATGTCAGAAGAGAAAATTCACACAAATAATTGTTTTCCAGTCTTCGTGACACAAGAATGTGATCTTATTCTACTAAACTTTGATAGCCTAAAGATGTCACAAGGTGAATGGCCTATTCAAGTGTTTTCCAGCTGTGTATTCTCACATGCTCTCTTCAGGTAGAAGCGTTAGTTTAAAGAAAGAGTTCTTTTCTTCCTTTTTAAAAAGAAAGGGCTGACATGTATTTAGAGAAGGAACTGCTGAAATGGTACACTCTGTACAGCAATAATTTTATTCTTATGTGCCTGAGGTTGGACAAGTTTTATACTGCCACAAGACTGGGTGTAAACTCTGTGACCAGGATGGAGCTACATGCTTAAAATCAAGTCAGGTTCAATTACTGAATGGCAGTGTTCAGTCTTCTGCATACCCATAAAATTACTTGCATCAACACCAGCATAAAAACTCCATAATTAAACTCCCGTTACTTTAATTTCTCCACTTTAGAGGAAGATCTGGGAAACAAACTGCTAGCAATAAAAAAACAAAACTGTAAAAGCAGTCAGGACCTAGTTCCAGAAGGAGTCTTGAACCAGACTGTAAAGACGGACAGGGAAAAAGCCAACCCAAGGAAGGAGACAAGCTGAAGGAAGTTCTGGATCACATCAGCTACCACTTGAATTCTTGCTATTGACACAATGCTCATTCATCACTCTTGAGTCTGTTCCAAAGATCACATGGTAGGGGCACTTCAGTTCAGCATCTGGAATCCCTAATTACATTCTTGGTTTCAAATATGCTAGTCTACTGCCAGCTTCTCACTGTTAAAGGATCTGGGTCCAACCATCACCCAGCATCCTGCAGCGTTGCTGTAATTTTTCCATAACACTGCCATAAACAAAGTCACACATCACTTAAGGTAGAAAGTGTTTTAAAATGGAAAAATATATAAATACTTAAAAAATACATGTACAGCCCTATTAGCCTACTAGGCTTTATTTATCCAAGTATTACACATACAGTAACTCAGGTTTGAGAAGACCTCAAAAGGTCTCTAGGCTAAGCTTCTTTTCCACATAGGGTCAGTCAGGAAGTCAGACCAGGTTCATTTGAGCTGTGTCCTGTCAGATCTTGAGCATCTCCAAGGAAGGAGACAGCATACCTCTTGGGGCAACTTGTTCCACTGCCTGATTGTCAAAAAGCTTCCTATTGCACCCAGAAACCAGCTCCCTAGTTTCAGTTAATGCCTGTTACCTCTAATCCTCCTACCCACCAAGCAGCAACAGAAAGAGCCTATGACTTCTTCATAACAGCAGTCTTCCAGTGCCTAAGTCACTCCTAAAAGTTTCCCTTCTTTAGCTCAGTTTTTCCAGCTCATAATCACACAGCAGGTACTCCAACCCCTGACATCTTGATGACCGCCACTGAACTTGTTCCTAGCTGATCAGCATCATTCTTCTCTATTTAACAGGGTAGTTGTCAATTAAAGATAGGTACTTGATCTTAGCACAAATACAAGCAGAGATGAGAAAACAAGACAATCCTAATAATTATCTTCAACAAATGGAGAAAAGTAGGAACTAGAGTTTGATTTCTGTCTCGCAATTTTACGTGTTTGGATTTTTTTAAAACCAGGAAGGCTCACAATCTATCACAGCATCTCATCTCACGGAGCTAAAGAAATTCTACTTAGCAGAAATAGTTATGAAGGCACATATCCTACCAGAATAATATTTTCATCTGAAGTAGATCAGGAATACACATTACAGTGGCTTTTGAAGTCAGAACTAGAGACTGAGACTTCAGTCAGAAAAATTAAACTGCCATCTTCATTAACAGTGTAATTAAGACTTAAAGTAGACAATTCAATTTTTTCCAATACTTTCTGTTTATATATAATGTTAGAAAGCAAATTCTTATAGTAATTGAGTTGTAAGACGTTTAAATTGGTATGTTCCCCAGAAGTGCAGGGACTTTTCTTTGTGCAATTAAAAGTCTTCCCAGGCAGCATTTTAAAAGGACGAATTCACAATATTACCTACACAAATACAATACAACTTCGTGAAAAGATACTTTGGGATAACATTAAAAACAAACAAACAAAATGTGAGATATGTAATATCAAGTGGCAACAGTGGCTATGTCTCAGAATGAGGAAGATACCACTTGCTTTTAAAAGCAAGTAGTATAAACACACTGGATAAATATGGAAGCAATATGCACTCAAACTCCATATGTTAAAAATCAGTGAGCAGTATGGGAATAGAATATAAATGAAATACATATTGATATTAAATTTGGTATTTCAGAAATTTCTCATGTAGTTTACTTGTCAGATATCCAGTGAGGAGCAGAAAAATGAACTAAATTACAAAGTACACAATAGTGAAAAAAATAAAGTGTTATTTAAACGATAGCCAATTAAAAAGAATATTAAGGTTTTTTTTCCCAGATAAAAAAAGACCTTCATAATTCAGAGTACAAAACAATCTTATGGCTAGTAAATCTTAAGTATTTCTTCCTATCAAAGCATTATCTTATAGTTATCTGCTTTTACTTTATCTTGCTTATGCCACTGCATAACAAAGCAATCCAAGCATTAAATCTGTGAGGGAAAGAACAGAGTGAGAAAGAGAGGAAGAGTTATATCCAACCCTATATACACTACAATGAAAATAGATACCTGCAAATAGATGCATCTGTACAAAGCTGTAAAACCTTCATACCGTTCTAAGTACAGGACATAAAGTAACTGATCTATTACTTTATCTGATATACCTTAAACAACCTCAGAAAAGCTCTTCATGGATACATAGATAAAGTTACAACTTCTTTAGTCCTCCAACCCTCTTTCAAGAAAGAAACACATCCCTATAATTACAGTTCAGACTCCCAGGAGCACATTTTCCCTGTTTTAAGCATGTCCATTTGTGGCAATCAACAAATGTTGCAAGAGGAAAAAAGCCACAAGAAGTTCACAGCCCATTTTAACCAAAGTTCCTACACTCTATTCACACATTTAGGATTTAAATGCTAGTCCAAGATTTAAATGGACACCAAATTAAGACTACGACTCACAATCCATGAATTTTAAGTCATGGCAGCTTTATTTCCAGTAATTTAACAGCAACTGGATGCTCCTGAAGAAACTCACATCTCCACAAGATTTACAGCGTAAGACAAAAGCATGATTTCAGTTCAACTCCCTCAGCTTTACGTACCACTAGAGGGCCCTCACAGCAGTTTCAATCACTAGTTTCCAACTGGCTTGAAAACAGATCTAGCTTCACTCAATTACTTCACAGGTCAAAACTGTAAATGCTTTCAAGCTTTTCTAAAGTACAACCTCATGAAGTTTTAACTAAAAAGATGTATTTTCGGGTGTGCTTTTTATTCCTTCTTTTTATTGATTATTGGTACTGTAGTAACACACAATGCCTCCCAAGCAAGGTGAATCAATAAGAGCTTTGAACTCTACAAAATACCTCATGCCAAACTGAAGAAGCTCAGGAGGAAAACAAAAGGTACAAAAAAGCAGCACACTTACTGAGCTCACAAAAATCAGAGACTTCTCCTGCATGTGCTTAGTAGGACGTCACAAAGAAGAATCTGACAAGTTTGCTAACATAAAGAATGGTCCATTGTACCCTGCAGTGCTAACAAAACTCTTCTTCAACTCCTTAAACTTCTTAACTCCTCTCTTGCAGGAGTTTAGCCCTCAGTAAAAGGTCTCTGTCCTTAGCTATTTTGAATTATTACCTACTTCAAATGCCCTAATAGTGATAATGCTCATCAAGTGCTTTGACACGCTAGAATTTACTTACGTTTTTAATGTTCCAGATGTCATGAGTTCTGTCACAAGGACAATACATTTTTTTCCTTTGACTGTGGACTCCCAGGAATCGTAGAACCTGACAATATTGGGATGCTGAAGCCCTTTCAGCATCCCAGCTTCCTCTTTGAATCTTTGTCGCTCTGACTTGGATAGTTTCCGATCCTAACGAAGAAAGAAAATAAAGCTTTGTTTTATTTCTCAGAGAAACTGCAAATTGAAAAACAGTTGTGTACAGTCATTCAACAAGAATCAACAAGCATCTTTTAAACGCCATTTTGCTGAGAGTTACTCATGCAGTAACTTCTTTATTTAGAAGATACTCTATCATAGCTTTCCTTACAGTATGAATGGGGATTATCTCCTAGTGCTATTTCTTCCATCCCTACTCCAAAGGGATTGCTTGACTTGAGGTGGAAAGGGGACAACGTCCTAAAATACTCGTGCATTCAAGGTCAGGCAAAAAGGGATCATTTAAAGCACATATCTCAGATTATAAACACCTATAATCTTCAGTTATTCCTTCAAGCATAGAATCCACACCACTGGTAACAGACTGGATTAATTCTCCATACAGATGATAGAGCAAAAAACCTAATTTATAGGATGCATTTCCAAAGAAAGACAAATAAATTTGGGTTAGATTTTTATTTATTTATTTATTTTTATTAAAAGCATGACCTCATGATTGAGCAAGCTTCCTGTAATCTAGCATCAAGGAAAACAAAGACATAATTCACACCAGAGAGACAGCGAGCTTTTGGCCAGAGACAAGTCATGAAAAAGCTTTCCTGGACGATATTGCTGTACTATCTACAGCAACCAACTATCTAATATCTTCAAGATTCTGACCAGCTGACCAGGAATAAACTGCAAATATGAAGAGTCTCCTTGCATCTTTCAGCTGTCAGTTTACCAGTGCATAGTCACACTAGTTTGGCTGATAACTGACATAAATCAGATCCATATGCAGATAGTATGAAAAACAATTCAAGATAGATTCAAAGCCCAGATTTTTACAATCAGTGTTTCTGCCAGCTAATTACAAATAACCAGTGCCCTCTGTCAAATCTTAGCAAAAATTTTAAGGCTACATTTACTTTTCAACTACAAGGCAGCAGAATAAGTACTTAGAGTCTACTCAAACTGTTCACAATTGTCCACTAATCTGTAATTCCTCTTCCTTTGTGAAGTCAGTGTGTTTTCTCAATACTATTCAGCCATGTTAATATCCAAACCACCCTCTATTCACATAAATTATCGACTTTCCCTAGGAGGCATGGACTACTTCATTTCCAGATGAAGCCCCAATTTTCAGAAGCGTAGGAATCTTCCAGATCAAATAGGAGAATAGTTCTGAAATTATTTCAGATGTCAGTGCTTTTATGCGTCTATCACTTACCATATATTTATGGTTGTTTAGGAAAACACCAGTTCTTAAGTGCCACAAATTAATCAATAGATATCAAAAGCGTTCAATCCCGCAACTATTTCCCCCTGCAGAAACTAGTGCTACCACTTCTCCTCACTCCTTCAGAAAGCATACTTGCACAGACAAGTTTTGATAGAATGTGCTTGCAGAAACACTAAGAAAACATGTCAATATTCATGTCTGCTGAGGTTTAGTGGTGTTTTTTGGTTGATTTGGTTTTTATTGAGTTTCTTTAATATGGAAGTAACGTTCCCACTTGAGCTCTTACACAGCTAATAGCTTTCCTTTCTTCACAATGTACAGCAGCACAAGTTCTGTCCAAGACCAATGTAATCCCGACTGTTACAAGCAGCAGAGATGCAGAAAAGCAGTGAGCTGCTATCAGCACGTCGATCAAAAGATCATACACACATGGTTTAAGAATCTCAATACTTTGAACAGAATGCACAATCACAATAATCATTCTCACAAAGATAACAAAGCAGATTATTCCCAGCCTCTGCTCTTTATCTGTATAATTCATCTGTTTAGCTCTACATCGAATTACTTTTTATGGTAATTATAAAACACAGGCCGTAACAATTACTCGTTACATCGCTTAAATTTAGCGATGTAATACAAACACCTACATTTGTTTGTGTACAAAAACTAAATTATAGTTAGACACTTGGATTAAGCTTCCTGTATTTTGTGAACTAACAAATATTACTAACCAATTTTAGACTAGACTTGACCTTAAGTTTTCATTTAAACCTGAATACTCCCGATCTCACTTTTAAGGGCCTCTCTGGGCTTCCCTTGTTGCTGTACTTGTGGTGCCGGATAGAAACTAACAAGTGCTAATCCCTCTTATCAAGGAGCAGATTCCTAATGGGCATGCCTACTTTGAGTCATTTCTCTTTCTGGTCACATCAACGGTAGCATCATGTTCCTGCAGACGTATCTGTGACGTTTAAAACAGACACTCAACACTTCACTGCTGGCATTAACAGAAGAAAAAAAAAGTCCAGACAATGACAATATATTAATGCAACACTTCTCTGGAAGCCACAGTGCCCTACTGATCTCAGACAAGTTTGGACACAAACGCAGGCCAACAAACACAAATTGCACCCAGAGAAAACAGCAATATTTCTGCAACCAAGGAAACATCACACCTTTCAGTAGCACTGCAGCAGCCGAAGCTAATTTTGAATAGAGCTGTCAGAAATGGACAGAAGCCACTTGTTTCATAAGACCAGCAATGTGTACGGCCTTTAACTGCCCCGATTTGTAACAGGTATTTATATATCTTTCCTTAAAGGAACACTAGTGCTAGGTAGCATAAAATGCTATATGTACTTGAAAAAGAAAACTAGCACTCAACAATTAGACCTCATGTACAATTACACCAACAAAATTCATCTGTATGTACAATAATTGGTGGTTACACTTGCATAAGCTACCCTCCAACAGCACAACTTGCAAACAGCCTACAGGCTAAATGCAAGGAACATAAGAGCCACCCTTGCTCCCGTTCCATCCCCATCTCTAAAGAAACAGCAAGAAGTACCATAGTTTATCACTCAAAGTAAGCAATTACCTCTGATTCAATTATATCAAAGGCAAATCAAATAAGATCTGTATCTCCTGTAGCCTTTTTCCTCCCTTCAGCTCAGGGTCTAAGTAGGTACAGAGATGGAAGACATCAGTGTGCATTTGCTGTTTCCAGCAACCAGACCTCACAGCTTGACATTCCAGTATCACAAAGCACAAGACTGGGTAAACAAATGCAATGTTCTCTCTTTTATTTTTATTTTTTAAATCAAACAATGAGAAACAATGCATGATATAAAGGTGCGTAAAGTGTTTTTTCCAAAAATCTGAGAAATTTTATAAAAAAGATGCCACTTTAAGAACTGTTAATAATATACGACTTGATATCCTATCCTTCCAAGGCCAATTTGTTTTGGAATTTCAACTAAAAATAATAATTATAAAAAAAAAAAAAAAAAAGAGATTGGACACCCTCCTTCCTCCCCCAGGCATTCATTTTGACCATATAATGAAGCAACACCAGGCAGACAAGACAAACTCCTAAGTCTTGCTGTTTGCAAATCACATTCTTGCATCTCAGTTACAGCAAGTGCTGAGCTGATATAGCCTAAATATTTAAAAATACACAAGCTGTCAAACTCGAAGAGAACTTGCTTCCTAAAATGGACTTAACTACCTCATAATTTGGACAGCATTGTTCTCCCTGAACCAGTAGCTTCCCTGAAGGACTGAAGTGTCACATCCCAATCACCAGGCTGCCCTTCCAACAAATTGAAACAGATGCATCGAGCCCACTTCGTTCATTTCACTCATTCCTTTCCACCTACATTAAATTGTTTTGACAAGCCAGGACAAACAGCAAGGCTTCCCAGCACGTGACCTATGGTTCTACAGTGCCAGAGGCCTGAATAGAGAGAGGCACTAAGTGAAACAATTGTTCAGCTCAATACCATTCAATAATCTTTTCTTGGCAGCTTTCATTTATCCGCATGCTCCCCTCTGACTTCTTTTGGTCAGGAAACAGCTATCAGAGCTACTTACATCATTCAATGTAAGACAGGAAACTTGGTCATTTACAATATGCCAGGTATGGGCTGACCCTTTTGCTGGTGTATTTAATCTGGAAGAGCATAAATTACCCAGTACTGTTACAGCCTGCCTTCTATCCCTGTGCCTAGGTACCTTATGTAAAGGAAGAAGAAATAAAGACAACTAAAACCAATCTCATCACAGATCAGCTTTTCTGCCAAGCCACAAAAAGTGAGGTACATCAGCAAAAGTTATCTATATTCCCCTCGGTGATATTTTTCAGCCAAAGCTAATGTCTGTTCAGCATCCTTCTGAAAGACGGAAGGAAATACATTTCTGACATTTAGATTAATCTTAAATTTCATCTGGGCTGCTCATACACCAGTTAATAGGTTCTATTGAGCAATTTTTCCATGTGTTCTCCTTTCCGAATTCCTGCGGTCCTTCCAGGCGTTGTCCCAAAGCAATGTGACAAGGACCACACAGCACAGCGGATCCAGGAGCAGCTCCAGAACGGCCCTTGCTGGGCACAGAGCTCATGAACTCAAAAAAAAGGTCTCGCCCTCTGCCTTGCCTCATTTCTGCTACACGGCCCCAAAGAGCACTGAAGGGGCCTGAGCTAAACTACAGAACAATTCAGAAGAAAAACTTCAACACAATAATACAACAGACCTCCAGAACCGCACGTCAGAGATGGAGTTTTAGATGTCGGTAAAAGCAACGGCGCCATGTTAGGAAACTACAGGCAAATATTTCATTAACAGAATGAACTGACACACTCAACAGCTGAGTGAGTGATCTGCTAAACAACTTAAGAGAAGCTCTCTCTTCCACATAACAGGAAGATATCAAGGAAGAAAGTAATAGACTGATTGCTTTACCTTTTACAGACATGTTTTGCTTACTTTCTGCACATCACACCACTACATCCTGCATTGCTATACTGCTCATGTAAGTACTGGGCTTGGGTTTTTGCTTTTTTATTTAAGCTACATTGAAGAAACACCAGCTAGCTTTTATCTAAAAGAGATGTGCTAGAAAACACCAGGCAAATTAGTAGGAATGAATCTACTTCAAGTGATGCGCTCTGACAATGTACACCACGGCAGACTTCAAAGCACTGGTAAATTATAGATAAAGTGACTCATAACCAAGGTAAATAAAATATCTAGCTCTGCTGAGGTCACACCAAGCAGCATTTTTATCAAGCTTCCCAACTATCTGAAAATTTGAGGGAAGTTACTGCAGCCCCCCCCACCCTATTATTCAGTAAAAGTAGGATACAGAACAGACAAGTGTTCTTCTGTGTGCATTTCTGCAGCATATGAAAAAGGCTTTGGAAGCCTTTTAGGCAAGGTTAATGAGGGGTCATCGGAGGAGAAGCTAGCAAGACAGTGCTCTGATATTCAGTGCTGTTAATGGAACCACAGCTTTGTGGGCTGCAGTGTTCTCATCCTGAAAAAATCTAGCAGTTAAGAGGAAAAATGAGCACAGTGACCACTGAGCTAGATTAACAAAATACTAACACAGAATTCACTGAGCTTAAAGATCAGCCAGTGTTACGCAGTCGATACCTAGGAATGGAAGTCTGAGTGCACAGGAACTGCCTATTTTTATGTCAACACAAACCACATTAGATTTCTAAAGTTATAAGACAAGATAGAATGAGGGGGGGAAGATACCATTCAGAATGCATGTCTGTCTGTACAGCAACAGACATGAAAATTGAGATCAAGGATCTCCACGCATCCTTCCACCTGTGCACCCCTCTACAAGTCACTGAACATGAAAAGTAGATTAAATGCAGCTAAGCAGCTGCTATTGCAAGAGTTTATTTTTTCATATTGTTTATTTTATCGGAGGACCTGGTTTGAGAGTATAGTTGTATAATATAATGTTTATAGAGTTATATAAAATTTTAGCTTACATGGAGTGGAGAATCAGGTCTGTAATCCTCAGTTAAGACTTTCCAGGCAACTCCTGCTTCATGTGTTTCCTTGCTACAGCTCTCCTACCTTCCAGCAGTAGCCTTCTGCAAGCAAGTCTCTACAACCTAAGACTGTAGTGGTTGATTCCATAATATGTGTCTGGTAATACTTTGGGGGCTCTCAGCACACTGGGGAAGATGTTGCCAAAGTTGCCAGCTGCTGAATAAGCAGTACATTAGAACTATGCCTACTGAGGCCAATGCCACACTAAGATACCCCAGTTTAGTACACAAGAACTCACCATATCAAGAGTTACCAGAACACAGCTGTCAGTGCTTCCAAACTGCACTCCATGCACAGGTGGAGCAGTATATTAAAACAGACAGACACACACTGTTCTTTAGATAAGTCAAATGTTATTTCTGCCAAAAATATACACATGCATTAACCAAAAGACAAGCCAAGAATAAAACAAACCAAAAAAGCTGCTCTCTGAAAAAAGACAAAACTAAGAAAAGACTCAGGCTACCTCACTGTAAAACCACACTGCTCAAAATCTTCTAAGCATTCAGAAGGTTAGACAAAGCAATCAAACCAAACATCAAACTCCTTAATTATCCCTCCATCAGTCTGTGCCACTCACCCCCATAAACAACTGTGCAAACATTTTAAGGAAGAAAGGATTTGCTTACAGAAATTAGAAATCAAGATCAGTTTCTGTGTCTGTTTGAAACCACACTGCTTTCTGAAGGGAAGAATACCTTCATCTTGACATTAGGTTGCAGAGTCTCAAAACAGAGACTTATAACAGAAAAGCCAAAAGCCATTTCAGTATACAAGGATTAATTAATAGAAAAGCAAATCTGAAGATTTTTTGTTGTCCTGTATCCTGGACGCAATTAACCAGTATTTTCGGTCCCCTTCTCCCTCATCCTCATTCTGGGGATGAAAGAGTTCCCAGGACTGGTAGCAGAATGAAAGGCAGTGCCAAGTTAGCACTTACTGAAAGCTCCACCTCATGTCCCTGGCTGGACAACCTTCACAGCAAGGCTCAACTTTATATAAGCTATAGACAGTGCCAGTGGAGTGCGCAGATAATCTTGAGCAAGATTACACTGAAGTATAATTGTTCGTATTTGACACAATCGAAAGGAGTAGGGTTAAAACAGTCATTTATCTACCACACTTTTTCAGCTTTGTGATCAGGGGTAAATATTTTTCTATAGATTTCTTCCTACTCAGGTAGAAGTATTCAGAAGTGCTCTGAGTTTTAGGCAAGCACACAAATCATCTTAATTGAAAGCTTGTGGGATTATTCACATTCAGCTGTACAGTTCCCTATAAAAGCACCTACCTGTATGTTCTTCTGCATTCTTATTTCTAGCATTTCAGTGCATAAACTTATGAGCAACACAACACATGTTATCACTAATAAAGGTGAGTGACGCAGATAACACATGCAAGCTTAGTGCTGCTCCTCAGAGGAGGGAATTAAAGCAATAAAATATGCCTATCCTGACAGAGATGATACCTGGGTATACTTATGAGAAAGTAGGGGAGGAAGAAGATAAAGGAAATACAACTCTTAATATTCAAAAAGGAAGCAGACAAATCTTTGAAGTTTGTACAAACTTTTCCTGAGAGCTGAAGCATTCTGGTGCTTAGATGGAGAAAATAGGTCAGTTTAAAAAAATGAGAAAAGCTCTAGGCTTTCCTTGTTCATTTGTATTTAACAAATGTGATAGCTTACTGATTCAGGGCTTGGGTTGACAGGGTTCCTCCATTCATTTTTCAAAAAAGCATCAACCCCATTCAAGAAAAAAAATAACACAAAAAAATAAAAAAAAAAATAAAAAAAAATATTTTTTTATTTATCTGAAAAATAAAAAAATAACAAACACATCTGAAATTGGCAAAAAATAAACTACATAGGTCAGAAGCAGCGTGCAACTTAAACTCTGTGCACAGCAGCCCTTTGCTGCTCACACTGCATATTACAGCATAACAGGCAGGGGACTGGGGTAGGGAGTTACACTCTGTGTTGTCTAAGCTTCGTGATGATGAATCCTGTAAACATCAAAATTGTTTACTGAAATTTAAAATAGTTTGGTAATTTACTCAAAGCACCAGTAGCTTTATTCTGTCTTCCAGTACAGAATAAAAAGTATGTTTTTTGTTTGTTTTGCTTTCCTTTTAATGTACAGATTAGAACTAGCATCATTCTGCATACATGCTTACTACTGTCCTCAAAAGAATTTAGTTTGCAGAGGTCAATTATACGTAACTTAAAGAGGCAAAAAAGAGACTTACGCTTCAGAAGATAATTATATCTAACATTAAAGAGAGAGTATCCATAACTGAAGCCTATGTATGTGATTGAAAGATATCAGTGATGCTCCCCATTTTTTCCTGCAATTGCTTGTTCGCTTTGACAAAGCTATGATTCATCAGCATGGGGGAAGGGGAAGAGAATATCACCACTAAGTACATTCCTCTGTTGTGGTCTCTTCCCACAGTTACACA